TCAATCGCTCTCTCCAGAGCTAGGGATCGGTGTCACGGATATCATGCGGATGTGTTCGGGTATGTGGCGGCAGGGGGGTGCATGGCGTCCCTCACCTCACCCGATACAAGAGTGTACAGCTGCCGCCTGCGCATTTGTGCTAAATTGGTCTGAAAGCAGCAATAGATTCACTTGCCTGCGTGTGTATGTACGGTGCTCTCAAATCTCGTGTTTCTGATCATTGTGATCGGTGGCATGCATAGCTTTCGTCGCCTGTTTTGTTGCGAAGGTCACGGCTGCTGCTGCTGCTGTTCTTAACTCGCTGTGTGTTGAAGCTTAAGCTCTTCTTGTCGCCGTCGTCGTCTCCCCCCTGTTGGCAAACGAAACCGCCGCCTGCTGCTGTGCCTGTTGCGGCTGCAGCCCAACGTGGTGACGATCTTCCAGAAGATGGGGCAGAGCAAGGAGGTCTACGATGCGCTCAAGTTTCTCCAGGTCCCTGCCTGCCGAAGGTGTGGACACTGACGGACGACAGTTTTACCTTAGTGCGCTCTGCGGTCGGCAGTGGTTGTGGGTCATTCAGTTTATGGTTGTTGTTGGTGTTGTTATTGATGTTGTTGTTGTTGTTGTTGTTGTTGTTGTTGTTGCTCGTTTACCGGTGGTAGGTCGTGTTGTTGTTGTTGTTGTTGTTGTTGTTATTGTCAGTATTGTTTCGGGTTGTTGTTGCTGTTGTTGTTGTTTGTGGTATTGCTGCGGTTTTTCCTGTTCCTGTTGTTGGTGATGTTGTTGGTTGTGTTGTTGTCGTGGACAGCGGTGCTACAGTACCCGATACTTTCGGCCACGTTTTTGGACAGCGCACGACATGCCTAGACAATGGTGATGTCATGTATGCAAGGTGTTCCTTGGGAAACCAGGGTCCTGCCTTTTTTTTGTGTGGGTTCTGTACGAACGCTTTCGTGGGAGCCAGACGTAATGTGAGTCATGATGTGCAGCACGTACGAATCATGATGAAACTGCCTACAGAGGTGGCAAAAGAACAATTGTTCGTGCCCCCTTTTTGTGTTTTAGGTGGGACGGGAGAACAGCGCTATTTACTAGTACGTTGTTTTGTTTTCGTTTCGAGACACAGAGTGTCTAATGTGTCTGACACCGCGGCAGGACGAGCGCCTGTTTGTTTCCCATGTGGCCCTTGGCGAGCGTTACCAGCGCTTTAACTTTTCCGCTTTGCTACTGAGGTATCTATAACACCTCTATTGAAGTTCTTGACTATGAAGCGCCCACCAACGCTCCCCCCCCCCCCGCGCCCTCCCTTGTTGTTTATCCGTCGCCCTGCGGTGAATCGTATCGGGCACAAAAAAGGCTCATGACTGAAGCTCAGATCCGCGTTGTGGATGCATCGGTGAAGCAGATGGAGCTGGGCGGCGTTGGCCTCGAGGGGGAGGTACGTTCGCACAGCAGTATAGTATAGGGGTTTCGCAGTCTTGAGGTACGTTCATACAGCAGTATAGGGGTATGCAGTATTGAGGTACAGTATTGGGGTACAGCAGTGTAAGGGGTACACAGTGTTGGTACACAGCAGCATAGGGATATACAGCAGGAATGGGGTATGGATGGTGACTAGACTCGAATGGTTGGTTAGTCTTTTGAGGTGGATCGCGCGGACGTGCGGAACTGGCACAAACACGCGTATTTTTGTTTTTATTTTTATGGCAAGGCGTCCCTCCGGAGTGGGCTCAAGGGAGAGCACAGCAATGTCATCAAGGGGTGACGCAAGATGGAAGTAGTGAAATCATGTTGGCGGTCGATCATGCGCCGTGACCCTTCATGTTTGAGGGGGGCGGAGTGTGCAGCAGTGCAAGGCAACGAGGGGTGGAAGAAATACGTACGTGCGTGGTGTCGATTTAGTTATTCGAGCATGGTTGAAGCTTGTGTCAGTTGCGGGCTTTCGGTAAGGAGGCGAGCTCACATTGATTTGGACCACCTTCAGCTGAGCTCTCCGACACGGTATTAGTAACGTGCACTTAAGCCGCTGAAAACGGTTCTGTCTGCCTTGCCTAGCCTTGTCTTCCTTATCTTGCCCTGCTCCCGCTGCGTGCTCTCTCGCCGTCTTCGTTGTCGTTGTTGCTGATATTGCTGCTGCTGCTGCTGCTGTCGTTGTTGTTGTTACGCTGTTGTTATTGGTGCTACAACTGTTGTGATTTAGTTGCTGCTACTTGCACTGCTGTTGTTGGTCGCTGTCGATGCTGACTGCGGTGGGTTGTGTGTGTTAAAAAAAAAAATAGGCCAAGGAGGAGTTCAACAAGATCCAGCTCGAGCTCGCGGACCTGTCGACCAAGTTCTCCAACAACGTCCTCGACGCCACCAAGGCCTTCAGCCTGACCCTCACCGACAAGGCTGACGTTGATGGCCTACCCGCTTCGGCCTTGGGCCTCGCTGCGCAGTCCGCCAAGGTGTGTGTGTATCGAGAGTGAATTTTGGTACATTTTTTTTTGTACTCAGCTATCAAGAGTGTACTTGGAGAAGTATAGATGTGTCGCGTATCGAGAGTGATTTTTCGTACGTTTCTGTTTTCTCGTTTTATATTTTACTTGGCTATTAAGAGTGTACTTGGAGAAGTATAGGTCTTCTCTAAAACCAAGGGTAAAGGCGTGTCATGTGTTGAGCGTGAATTTTGCTTACCTTCTGGAGCTTTTACCATCTTTTCACACCCTTTCACTCTTTACTTTGTCCTCGGAGAAGTATACAAAATGTCTTCCCTAAAACCAAGGATGAAACAACAAGAATTGAGTACGGGCTGGAGAAAAATACAACTTGTCATTTTGTTTGTATTACTCCTGCAAACAGCTTCTTTCTTGTTACCACAATGGCAATTGTACCCTTTGGTTCGGTGAGTGAGTACCCCACACACACACACGGAACACACGAAAACGACAACGGGAGTTCCTGATGTAAAACGCCACGAGCGATGATTGTTTGAGCTCTTTCGGTATAGGGTGTCAAGCAGTGCTGTACCAACGTCAGCAGCGATCTGCACGAACGGTATGCGTGTTCAATGGTCGAGAGCCCCCATCTCCTCACGGCGAACACCCAATCATTGCCCCCCCCCCCTCCTGCACTCTATGGTCTACGGCATGCGTTTACATGGATACCCCCCCCCCCCCCCCCCCCCGGCGTGTTGCGTCCGTGCCGCGAATGTCCCACCCCGACCCTTCCCCCTCCGGCGGGTGGCACGGCAGCTGATGGGTGACATGAAGGCCTGGACGGAAACGCTGGAGCTTAAGCTACTCTCCGTTAAGGCGGAGCTGGAGCACTCGAAGGTACGAGGACTCTAGGAATCATTAGTGCATGTGCAGGATGCCTGAATGTATCCATGGGTGAGACGGCCCCGCTCTCTCTTTAGACCGTTTTTTTGTTGTTGTTGTGTGTTCACTTCAAATCAGCGCTCACAGCGTTTTGTGCTATTTTTGCTCCAACCCTTGATTGGCGATGCCAATAGTTGAACTTGTGGGCTTATGGGTGAGGATAGTATTTACGTTTGTTTCTGATGGCCGCACAGTTTGCACGGTGGAGTTCCGAAACACCGTTTGACTTTGACGACCGCGCAAAGACAAAGCAACCCCTCATTTTTGCCATAACGCCTTTTGTACCTCGACGAACTCTACCCGACCTAGTCCACACTCAAGTTTTGGGCAGCACAGCCGAATTTTTGGTGGGTAGAAAGACGCTTCCTATCGTTTATTTTATTTTTATCATAGACCTCATTTTGGGTCCTGCTGTGAGAATGGAAACTTCTTTCATTTCAGAGCGTACGGAACAGGAGGCACTGGTTTGTAGTCGAGAGCACGTTCTCTTCTACGCGAAAACAATACCAACAGCTGTGTATACGACCCTTCTACATATTTCAACCATGTCCCCGTCAGTTCACGGGAGCATGCTCTGCTCTGCTTTCCCCTTCCGTCGTTTTGACTTCGTGTGCTCGTCTTGACAGGGGTGCATGGTAGCGTGGCAACGGGTAAACGACGAAGATGCAGAAGGCCGATGAGGAGAGGCGGACGATAGGCCGCAAAGCATACAGCAGGAGTAGCGGTCTCTCATCTCGAAGTCGTATTTTTTGTTTCTTTAGTTTGGCATCGACAACGCTGATGAATGAGGAGACGTTAACCTTGCGAAAGGCGCCATGTAAAACTCGGAAATACTTGGTAGTCCTCGGGCCCTCCCCCGCCGCAAGCGGCGCGGAGGATATTGGACGATTT